GACAGAGCCTCAAGCTGTCCCCCTGGGTAGAGTGCTGTGGCATTACAACTCACAGCAACCTCCCACTCCTGGGCTCAAGCGAGTCTTCTGCCTCAGCCTCCCAAGTAGCTGGGACCACAGGCGCCCGCTACAACACCCGGCTATTTTTTTGGTTGCAGCCGTCATTGTTGTTTGGTGGGCCTGGGCTGGATTCAAACCTGCCACCTTAGGTGTATGTGGCTGGCGCCTTAGCCACCTGAGCCACGGGTGCCGAGCCAGGCTGGCAATGTTTTAAGTTAGAAGGAAGTCTGCTAATCACAAGCCACAATGGTCAGTGGTCTGCTTAACACACCAGTGTTCTGCAGGTGATTCACCTTTTGCCTTGCATGGCTGAGGGTCCATTAATAATTTAGTACCTTATTGTCTGAGGCGCCCAGCCCCTCTCCCCTTCATTGCCAGGAATTCAGTGTTGAGGATTATCTGGGATCCCCTTGGCCAAGAAAGGGTCTGTCCAGTTGGCAAGGGTTTAGAGTTTTACTTTAGATCATACAGCCAAGTGCCCCGAGCCTCACTTCTACGGGTTGCCCGTTTATCATTCAGTTTATGTCCCAAGTGTTTTATCTCTTGCTGTTCTTGGTGGAACATTTCCTGCCACTTCATGTTCTCACTGGTTATTATCTGAGTACATGAAAGGCATTTATCTCTGGATGTTAGTTTTATATCTGCTGTGCTACCAGATTTTCTTGTTGCCTGTAGGGGTTCTTCTATGAGACCTGTTGTGTTTTCCAGGAGGGCAAAGCCACACCACCTGTCCTGGGTGAGGGTGGTTTTCCTTTGTGCCTGATCTCACCTGGCATCTCCAGAACTTTGAGCCCTTCTTGCCTTGTCCCTGATGTAGACTTGGTGCCTCTAACTCTCCTCTCATTCAGGATGAGACTGCAGGGTGGCAGAAGCAGGATGGGCTCCAGAGTCTGGGGCAAGGGATGGACTGGGTGGTGGCTGGGGTGGGGTGTCTGGCATGGCTGTCAGCAGCTGAGGACCTCACACAGTGACAGGGTGTCAGCAGGTGTGCCTCTGCCTGGTATAGCCCACCCACCACCCTGGTGTGAAGGCCCCATACCAGGCCACAGCCCTACCTGGGCGGGACGCCCCATGATGGGGATATGGGGGTTGGAGAAGCCCAGACATGGGCACAGCTGCTCAGGTGTTGCCCCAGATCAGGCCAAAGTGGCCTGGGGGCAGAGGGCCATGAGACCATGGAAATGACAAGATGGTGCCAACACTCTCTGAAGTTGAAGGGATCTCACACTGGGGGAGGGGACGCTATACGTGTGTGTGGGCCAGGGAAAGGGGGAGCAGGAGAGGGCCTGGGACTTTCAGGGTAGTGAGCAGCAGTGCCTGGCCCGGCAAGGCTCTAGGAGGTGGCGTCCTCCCTGTGTCCCTCCTCACTTCCCCCACAACAGAACTCCTCAGACAGGACAGAATGCAGAGCTTTCCTCACATTTAATCTATAACAGAACCCAAGGGGAAGGCTCCTGAGTGCCCCCACACAGCTGGCCACTGGGCAACCTGGACACTGGTCATCCTGCCACCAGTCAAGGGGTGAGCAGAACTTGCTATCCAGGGGCCACCTGTACCACCTCACTCCTCCCTGGAAGGAGCCCAGCCAAGACCCCTAAATGGCACTGTGAGTGCTCAGCAAAGAGAGCCTGACCCCTCACCCTGGACATGGGGGGGCCTCTGGGTGCCTGCACCTCTAGCCCTCAGCCCTGTGGCCTTAGCCTGCAGAAGCCAGAGCCAGCCCCCCCGCCCATGGTGCTGTCTTGAGCAGTAGGAGGTAGGGGAGGCTCAGGTGTAGGGCACCCAGGAGCCATATAGCCAGGAGCTCTTCTGGACTCCCCAACACCCCTGCGTGGACCCTGGAGAACCTTTAGCCCATACACTTCCTGCCCCTTGAGGTGGCTTCAGGCCCAGTGTCCAGTGTGTCCCTGGACCTTCCTCGTTCTGAGGTGCCTCATTGGGACGTTCCAAACCAATCTCCAGGTCTTAGGGGATGGTGGGGGCCAGGGCACTGTGAACCCACCCTGCACACCAGCTCTGGTTCCAGAGACCCAGGCTTCAGCTCTGTCCCAATAAAGCCTGAAGTGGTGGCCGCCTCCAGCCTTCACTGTAAGGGACAGTGACTCTGCTGTCCAGGCTCACAGTGGCATTAATGCAGAGTCCTGTGGTGATGGTGGCTCAGGTCTGGGTTGTCTCCCGGTAGCTCAAGCCCTGGGCACGCTGAACCCTCACACCCTGCTCCAGGGAAGGTGCCTACCCTGGGCTCTTAGCAGAGGGTCTGAAGGATACTGGCAGCCGAGGAAGCTGGTCAGAGGGGCCAAGAGCAGTGTCCATCCTCGAGCCTCAGAGGCCAGGGATCCTGAAGGCTGTCAGCTGAGCCCCTGTGGCCTGGGGACGAGATGCCTAGCCCATTGGGGAAGACGATGGTGGCATATTCTGTCTGCTCAGAGACCAAGGGAGCAGGGGGCTCTGGGGTCTTCTCTCTATTTGGGAAGTCCAGCTCCCCGTAGTCCACGGTGAACGCAGGCATGGCTGAGGGGTCCTCCTTCTTCAGAGTGAGAGGAAGGGAGGAGTCAGTCCCCTGTGCCCACTGGGGAAGGAGCCTGTGTCATCTGCCAGACTGAGCTACCACCTTGGACACTGGCCTCTGAGCCTGGGACCTCTCTCTTAGAGCAGGTGTGCCCAGGCACTGGGCCTCAGGCCAGGGCTGTTCCCTCACTGCCCTTCTTCCTCCTTGCCTCAGTTTCCCCCTCTGAAATGCCCCTGGCGTGCTTGACTTTTCTGTCTCCCCTCTTGCCAGCATAGGAAAGCAACAACTGAACCTGTACATGGCCTTACAGGAGTGCCCATACCACTGGCCACATGCCCAGAGGCACAGGCAGGCCAGGTACCAGGACACAGCTTTGAGGATTTAGGTCATGCTGCCTGGGGACCCAGGAGGCAAAGTCCTGGTTGGAAATTTGAGTTTACGGTCTCCAAGTTGCAGCTCTGCAGGTCATGCACCTGGCATCCCCTGAAGGGGGACGGGGACAAATCTCACAGTACAGGGCCCAAGGCTCACCAGGGTTTGGTCGGCACTTCGGGCTCCTCCTCCGGCCCCTGCGGAGAAACACACCCAGAGTTGGAATCAGATACTGAGCCATCCCCCCAGGTCAGTGTTCTTAGTGGGATGCTAGCTCAAGAGGGCTTTGTCAGTGGGGGTGCTTTGGGTCTTGAGGGGTGCCCTGTGAGTTCAAGAGGGCACCATACATTCTGGCCTGACTCACCACCATTCCAGTGATGAGGAGGCCCCAGTTTGGAGCATGAATTGCAGAGCAAGGCGTCCACTGCAGGGGCCTACCCAGGTGAGGCCCCAAGAAACACTGTAGGTCTCCACAGTGGACCACGTGCCCTACACACATGTGTAGGGGGAAACAGAGGTTGCTGAGGAAATGAGGTCCAAAGGGCCTGGCCACACACCTCCCAATGCTCAGGGACAAGGAGACCCAGGCTCCAGGTGGGCTGTGGAAGCAACTGGAGGTCAGCTTCACAGGTCTCATGGAGGTACAGGGTGTGGGCTGGGGAGGTCATGTGGTGGGGGTATCACTCACCACCCACCCTAGCCTTGGGGCTCACCACCCTCTCATCCCTGTTCACTTCACTTTCTCAGGTCCTGAGGCCTAAGGTTTTTCTCTCCCTGGGTGGTGTAGAGGCTCTTCCCTTTTCCCTACCCCAGGCCTCAGAGCCCTCCTGAAAGCAATTGGAAAAGGGGACAAGGCTGGAGCCTGACTGCAGGACCCCAGAGATGCTGGGAGACCCCAGCCAAACTCTTCCCTGGGAAGGGTCCTTGCCGTGAGAGGGCCTGAACCCTTCTCTGAAGGACAGCAGCAGGGCTGGGCAAGGATCTGACAGGCATTACCTTGAGTGGCCATAGGGCGGATGGTGGTCAAAACCCATGCCAGTAGCAGCAGCACTGGGACACCCACCAGGACACTTGTGACAACCACCACCAGGTTTTGGAACTGGCCTCCTGGTCTGGGTGAGGGGCTGGGGTGTGATGTGGGAGATTCCACATCTTTCTCTGGAAGGGTACAAAGGACCAGGGTTAGACGCAGTGTTCTCAGGGGCACCTCAGTGTGCTCCCCTTCCCTTGGGGTTACCTGCCATGCTCTGTCCATGGCTTGAGCAGTTTTGTTGGGCCCCACCTGTGCAGTGACCAGCTATTGCCTTTCTGCATCTCAGAATTGCTTCCCAGCAGGACCTGGTCCTGATAGGCCCTGACCTCTCTGAGTCAGGGGATCAGTTAATATGGTCTCAAGTGATAGACAGAGCCCTGACTAGGAGCCGGGTAGGACCCTCCTTTTATGCCCCTGGGGACTCGTATTCTGGTACAGGAGAGGCACTCACTCTGTCCTGCCTGGCTTACCCCTGCCCCATTCTTTGTGACCCCACCTGTCACCGTGAGCTCTGCAGGGGGGCTCTCTGTGATCTGCGCTGTAGGGGGCAGAGAGATGGCCCCACAGAGGTAGATGCCACTGTCATTGCGCTGTGTGGCCACGATGCTCATGCTGAAGTCGTGCCCATTGGGCAGCTTTGTGACTTGGAAGCGGGGGTCCTGTCTGTGGTCCCTGGGGAAGGCAGCCAGCTTGTAGGTCTGGTTGCTGGGGCTCATGCGGTACCAGTTCAGCACGAAGTCTTCTGACATACTGGCCAAGCTGCAGGTGAAGGTGGCGCTGGCCCCCTCGGACACTGTGAGCCGGGCTGGGGAGAAGCTGAGGGACCTGTTTGGGACATCTGAGAGGTGGAGAGGGAGAAGCAGCCACCATGAGGGAAGGGCCAGGCAACCGGTGAGACCCTTGAACTTCCCCCAGTCAGGGTAGAATCCCAAACAGTGCCTCTGCCAGGCCCCCAGCTTCTCTCTGCCATCTGGGGCTGGGCGTTCACCTTTGGCTTTATTGAGACCTGAGGATGAGGGTTTCTCTTCAATGCTCTGGCTGTCCCTTACTCCCTGTTTCCTCCAAGAGTCTTCCCTCAAGAGGGCTGTGCAGGGGCCATGCCCAGCATGTCCCAGCTCTGCCCATTAGGCCCGTGACCCTTTGGGTGCCCTGTCCTGGTCCTGTGTGCACTGCTTGGGTTCAGGGATGCCATGGAGACTGCAGCCCTGGGCTGGAGGCCCATGACAGACTCAGGGACCAGACTTTGCACCCCATTCAGGATAAGCTCAGAGATGGGACCCTGGGGACTGGAGTCCTCAGGAGGGCCATCACCTCCCAAGTGACAGAAATGGGGCCTCTGCATAGCTCTCCCACCAAGGGCCTGTCTCATGGATGTACTCATACATACATGCACGCACCTTATCCACACGCTTTTGTGCCCTCTCATGTCCACCCTTGCATGCCCATGGGGACTGGCTGGCACACAGAGATAAGGTGCCCCCATCTCAGCCCATGTGACTTGCCAGTGGCATTCCCTACCCAGTCAGGGGTCTCAGGAGGGATGCAGGGCCCATAGCTCTCCCCTGGGGAGCCTCCACTTTGCTCGCCCTGGATGGGTCTGCCCATAGTCCCTGATTTACATGTGGGGAAACCAAGGCACAGAATTATGATTTGTAGGCTGAAGCTGCTTCAGACCTGACTCTGGGTGTATGCTGCTATGTAGAGTGAGGGGCAGAGCAGAGCAGAGCCCGGCCTACCCCTACAGCACCACCTGCACCCTCTAGTCGTGTGGGAAGGTGACCTCTTTCTGAGACCTAAGACCTCTCACCCACATATCCCTGCCAAGGAGCCTCCCCAGGCCCCATCTAGCCCTGTGACATCAGTTCTGGATGTTCTTATTTGGTTCTGTCCCCAGCAACAACATTTGCTGGGTGAGTGGTGACAGGGAGGTGGTGACAGGGCCTTTGCTGCTTCTGGGGCACATGGTCTCTAGGCAGTATGGGGATCTACTCTCTGAGCAGTCCCAGCTCCAAGGAGGAAGGCGCAGCTGGCCCCAGTGTCCCTGTGGCCAGGGTGGCCCAAGTCCCACCAGTGTGCATGTAACCAGGACAGACTCCTCATCACAGCCCCACTGAGCACCTCACATAGGCGAGTGAGGTGTGTGAAGTGACCCCTCTTGCTTAGGAGAAGATCAGAGTGCCTGGGAATGGCTGGAGGTGAACAGGGGTTCCTAAGACAGCCCTGCTCAGGGACAGCAGGTGAGGACCCTGAGCTCCCCCATGCCTCGCCAGCCTGGATGCCCCAGTCCTGGGTGCAGGTGGGGCCACTCTCAGTGCTGTTCCTGCAGAGCTCACTGATTGCTACCTGGACAAGAGGGTGGCAGGGCCTGCACCAGAGTCCCTATAGAGAGAGCTGTGGGGCCAGGTAGCTGTGCAGGGTGGATGGTAGTCCTCAGAGCTCTGTGGCTCTGCAGAAGGTCTGTGGCACCTGTCAGGAGGATGGGGCATTGAGGAAGCCAGAGTGGCCTGGGAGGGGCTAGGCCTGGGCTGTCAGTGGCTTGTCAGCAGGGGCCACTGCAATGTGGAGGCTGGAGCCTGCTTTCTCCCCACCTCCTCAAGGCAACATGAACACTATGAGGCCCCTGAGCTTTCTTCACATTGTGATCATGTGTCTAAGCCAGGCATTGCATGTCCTGCCACTGTGGGTCTAGACTACAGCAGTAGCAATTTCCCTCGGCAGTACTAATATGCATCTTCTTTTTTTTTTTTTTTTTTT